GGAAATGTATTCGATTGTATAGTAGATTTGTTCAGAATTCAGTGGAGCTGTGCTACAAGATAAATTTAACGTGAAATGGAATTTGATTTAAATTGCCCGCTCGTTTTAAAAGATTTTGCATCGAAGGTGTCCCAAGTATCGCCTCTTGTCCACTATTTGGTATAAAAGTGTCGCTCATTATAATGCATGCTTAGCAAAATATCGGGTTCCGAGCAGAATTTGTATTGAAACATATTCGATTGCATAGTAGAACTGTTCAGAATTTAGTAGGGCTACAAAATGAACTTCGGATGCGAAACAAAAGTAGTACTGTTATACCGAATTCCTTAGATTTGAATTTCCCGCCCTTACAATTTAAACACACTTCGCGCACCATACCTATTCCCCATAACATTATTCCATCATAAATAAAATTCCATTGGTCCATTTATTCTAACATTTCCATGAGCCATTGTGGTTATTGGAAGAACGCTTGTTGGTTACATACAGTGGGATAAGGGATACAGTTGTGGTAGTAAGAACACAAACTTTCAAGCTCGATTCTCCTCATACAGCGAGCTTAGCATAGATGGAGCGATATATAAAACGGTATATTCTGAAGTACCTACGAATAAGCTGCCGAAAGAGGATAACATTTCTGCCTGAGCATTTCCTCGAGGTATACAAGTGGAAATGTAACGAACAGAGATCTCGATTCAGGTGAACGTATTTTGAATGAAATTTCCTACGAACAATACCGGTCTTTCAGGAAAAATAAATTCTGAACTAACTGTTTTCTTACTGGACCCTCATTCTACTCTCTTTGTTAATTTTATGGAATTTGTTGGGAATTTTTGTTCTGCTATTTTATTTGCTGGTATTTTGTTTCATTTTTAGTTTAAGGTTATTTTTTTCTTTTTATTAATGCGAGCTTTTTCATTTTTAATTTAAAATGATTTTTTTCATTTTTAATTTAGGATGATCTTTTTTATTTTTTATTTAGGACGATCTTTTTTATTCTTAATTTAGGATGATCTTTTTTATTTCTAATTTAGGATGATCTTTTTTATTTTTAATTTAGGATGATCTTTTTTATTTTTGATTTAGGATGATCCTTTTTATTTTTAATTTAAGATGATCATTTTTATTTTTAATTTAAGGTGATCTTTTTTATTTTTAATTTAATGTGATCTTTTTTATTTTTAATTCTAAAAATTCAAAAATATAGAAATTTAAAAATGAAGAAATTAGAAAAATGAAAAAAATCTGAAAACCTAAATAGAATTTTTACACAGAACAAAATCACAATACACAAAAATTCCATAAATTTGCTCCTGGAATATATTGAAAATAAGCCATGAAAATATTTGCGTTACTTTCCAGGAATTTAATTTCGAAGTACCTTTTGACACAAGCGTCAGATTCATATTTAATCAAACATAACTGCGTTTCGTTTTACGGCACCGAAAAGAACACACTAATAATATTTATGCAACCCGCTTCAAAGACCATAAAATACTGATTTGATTTTTTGAATTTTCAGCGCAATATATTTGTAAAGTAAGCTAGCCTCATTCAACGTAATTTTCATCTGTAAAACGAAGAAAAAGGACACTTTAATACCCTTAGTCTACCGATGGGGTGAGGGACGTTCAAAAGTGTTCTTTCGTGACTTGCTTTAATGTCTTGATTACAACTTTTTAAATATTCTCGTTTCTGCAAACGATTTTTAATCCACGAAAATCAGGACTTCCCTCTTTGTACATTTCTACTGCAGCTCCGTTTAATTTGATATGAAATTATATCGTGCAACGTTGCTCATTTGTACGTTTGTGATAAAAACATTTTTTCTGAAATATGATATTGAGATAATATTAAATATTAAAGGTTTAAATTCTGGAGATTATTATTTTTATCATGAATTGTGAATATGAAAGGATTCTGTACTGTAAAGATAAGAAATGTAAATAAATAATTCTGTGATATTTTTATATTCTTGCAGATATAAAATGACTGATTTACAGTTATAGTAAAAAATAATCAATTTTAGAATATAAAATAAAACAGTGCTGTATCTTAATTTTAAATTGGAAATTTTAGAGAAATTATTGCAGAAATTGCTGATGTTTTCAAAAACAACATGGCCGATTTTCAACATGGCTGACTTTCAACATGGCCGATTTTCAACATGGCCGACTTTCAAAACGGCCGATGTCAAATACAAACTGACCTGAATAATCAATTTCGAAATATTTAAAAAAATTGCATTTGTTGCACTCTGATTATAAATTGTAAATTTTATACAAATAATTTAAGAAATGAGATATTACTCTCACTACAAAATGGCGGATTCTCAGATATGATAAACAATAATCAATTTTGAAGTATATAAAAAAATTGTATCTTAATTTAAACTTGACAAATAATTATAGTCAAATAATCATGTTCTTCAACATAAAATGATTGGATTTCGATTGACATAAATAAGAAAGAATTGAGAAATATATAACTGGTATCGTTTACTAGTGGACATACAATTTTTAATCATTTATATTGCACACTGTAGAACCCAGTTTTTTTTTCAAAATAAAATAAAAGAAAACTTCATTCGTCAGGTTGAAATATAAATAACCGGAAATTGGATATTCGGTGGTAGCCAATACTAAACTGCAAATTGGTTGATTCATTGTTAACTGCCAATGAAACAATTTGTAGTAAAAATGTTCGTAACGAATAAAGCAATTTGCGATAAAAATATTTCTAACGAATAAAGCAATTTGTGCTGAAAATATTGACGCAACAATAATTCAATTAGTTGTTGTAAAATTATTGGCTGTTGAATAATGTGGCACAAATATTATTAAATTGTGTAAAATTTTTAATCGATATGAAATTAAGTACTTTGAGAGTATTGGCCAGATGGAAGTTTCGGTGACTTTTTAGTTTTGGGTTTGAAAAGTCAAGAATGTAAAAGATAGAAAATTTAACGATTTGAAATTATGAAATTTGAGGATCTACAAATTTTGAAATTAACGAATTTAAAAATTTGAGAAGGCTTTCATAGAAAAACTGAAAACTTAGAAGTTAGAGAAGTTTGGAATTTTGGGAAATTGTAAATTTGGTAATTTGAGAGCTTGAAATTTTGGAAGATCGTAAAATTGGTAATTTGAAAGTTTCAGATTTTGGAAATTGAAATATGGTAATTCGAAAGCTTGAAATTTTGAAAAATCGTAAAATTGGTAATTTGAAAGTTTCAGATTTTGGAAATTGAAAT